GTTTGGATTTGTTTTGTTTGTTGTTTTGTCTCCTGGGCGGAGGTCATTGGAATCTGGCTACTTAACTCCATGGCCATGAGTTCGCTTGTCTGCTTTCCGGATCGAGGTGACAGGCCTTGGGCGTGTCAATGGTTAATACAGATAGCCGCTCACCGAAACTTTGGAGGGTCCAGCCTGCCCAACAGGTCCCTGGGAAGAAAGGCTTGGAGATTCTGTAACTTCCAGAAGGTCATGATCGGTGCACAGCTCAGCTCTGCCACGTGGCTCTCCAGGAGGCACCATCCCTCCAAGTGCAACTGGGAAAATCAAGGTGACCACGCATTCTCCAGGAAAAGGCGCCACTCCACACTCCGGAAGGGGCCCTGGTGGCATCCTGGTCATGCCTTGGGCTCCTAACCCCAAAGTCAGCAGTTCGAAACCACCAGCCACTCTTGGGGAAAAAGATGAGACTGTCTACTCCCATCAAGAGGTACAGTCTCAGAAACCCACCGGCACAGTTCTACCCTGTCCTATGGGGTCATTATGGGTCAGCACAGGTTTGATGGAAGTGAGTGTTGGAGTGCACCGTTCCCAGGGCCCCTCCCATCTGTCTCCTGTGGTAGGAAAGGTCCCCAGGCATGCAGACACTGTCAAACTAGGTGGCAAGCCTCAGAGGTCTTGCTTCAGGCATCTGTGACCTTCGGTCAAGTAACCTGATGAAGCCAGCCACCTCCTCCACCTGGAAGCCACAGAGCAAATGCTTGACTCCCTTGTTGACGCAGAAGCTGGAAAAGTCAACCTCAAACGGCCCCTGATAGCCATCTAGCCTGAAGCCCTGGCCCAGTGAGGGCTCAAGCCTCCTGAGAGTTTGTTTGAAAGCCAAGCAAGCCTCCCCCTGCCCCGACCCAACCCATGCTGCCCATGATGTTTTGTAAACTTGCCTGGGCCCTTTATCTGCTATCCCAGAAAAGCAGCACAACTTGCATGGGGAGCTTTGCTCTGTTTGTGAACCTTGAAAAGGAGCCCGGGGCCGAGCAGGCGGGCTGGGAACAGGAACGGAAAGGAACAGGACCGGACTGGCCAGGCTGGGCTTCCTCTGTGAGCGGCCTGCTCTGTGCTGTTTTACCACTGATGTCTCTGTGGAGATGTTGGATAGAAGCAAAGGCAGCATTGTGAAGTCACCATTGGTCGAAGAAGGGGCCCAACAATTTGGGGGGAGTAAACACTGGCCCAGATCATTAGTGTCACCTGACACCCAGTATCACCCCACGCCTCAGTGGGGGCCACCCTTGGGAGCCGCAGCCAAGCCCTGCCTTCTTTCTCCTACCCCCACCTGCATGGCTCTCCATAGCTCCTCCCCTCTCCAAGTGGCCAAGGTAGAGAGACCTTCCTCTCTACCAGGGGTGGGGGAATGGGAGGGGCAAGTTATGATACTGGGTTACAAGTGGCCCCAACTCCAGTGACACCACTACCTTGGCACCCCTCCCCCTAAGTGCCAGCCCACCCACCACACCAATGTTGGGGTCCTTTTGGTATCACCCCCTCTAAAAGTGTCAGGAAGTACAGAGTTGACCAGAGAAACAAATTCCTAGACACTCATGTGTATAAAAAAGAGCTATATATAAAAGCAATTGTATATTGAGAAAACAACCCAGCCCAGTCCAGATCAAGTCTGTAAGTCCTATATTATCCCATATGTCTGATACTAGTGCATACATTCCTCTTTACACTCACACAGTACATGCAATGATGCCAAATGCAAGAAGATCACAGGCCAGTGGGTTTCTACCCTCTACTTCTCTCTGTATGTCATGATGATTTACTTCGATATGGAGGCCTGGGTCCTGGCGCTGCATAAGGACAGTGAGTCTGAATGGACCAGCCTCCTGTTGTACGTGCCCAGCATCATCTATGCCATTGTGATCGAGATCATGAACCACCTCTATCGATATGCTGCCGAGTTTCTAACTGCATGGGAGAATCACAGATTGGAGTCTGCCTATCAGAATCATCTCATTCTGAAAGTTTTAGTGTTCAACTTTCTGAATTGTTTCGCCTCCCTTTTCTACATTGCCTTTGTCCTGAGGGATATGAAGCTTTTGCGTCAGAGCTTGGCCACTCTGCTGATTACCTCACAGATCATTAACCAAGTTGTAGAATCCCTTCTTCCATATTGGCTTCAAAAGAAGCATGGGGTGCAGGTGAAGAAGAAGCTGCAGGCTCTAAAGGCAGATATCGATGCTACACTCTATGAGCAAGTCGTCCTGGAAAAAGAAATGGTGACCTATTTGGGCACCTTTGATGATTATTTGGAACTGTTTCTGCAATTTGGTTATGTGAGCCTTTTCTCCTGTGTGTACCCATTAGCAGCGGCCTTTGCTGTGTTAAATAACTTCACTGAAGTCAATTCAGATGCCTTAAAAATGTGCAGAGTCTTCAAACGTCCCTTCTCAGAACCTTCTGCCAGTATTGGTGTATGGCAGTTGGCCTTTGAGACAATGAGTGTTATATCTGTGGTCACCAACTGCGCTCTGATCGGAATGTCCCCTCAAGTGAACTCAGTCTTTCCAGATTCAAAAGTGGACCTAATTCTGATTGTCATCGCCATCGAGCATGCGCTCCTGGCTCTGAAGTTCGTACTTGCTTTTGCCATACCGGATAAGCCGCACCACATCCAGATGAAACTAGCCAGATTGGAATTTGAGTCCTTGGAAGCCCTCAAGCAGCAGCAGCTGACACTCGTGGCCGAGAACCTGAAGGAGGAAGCCAGCGACCGTGGGAAAGAGCAGGCGCCCTGAGCCCACTGCCTGTCCATCCAAAGCCTCAGCCTGCTCCAGCTGCCCCTCGTGCTCCGGCCACAAGGGGCAGGGGGCACCGTGACTCAGACCCACCACTCGAGGGCCACCCAGTCCACAGCTTCCCCACCCTCCACCCACCCCTCCTACTCCCCCACCCTCCGACTGCCCAGGCCACACTGCCCCTGGATCCCCTCTCCACGTTGCCCCTCAATGGGGCCACTTGCTGCCCGCGCCAAGAGCCAGGCCAGCGGAGCGGCTGGGGCAGTGGGCCATGGGTGACCTGGGGCTGCCCTCACACCCTCTCCTGGCTCACCTGGCAGTGTGCTCACAGCTGCTTCATCAGCGAACACCAGTAACCTCGCGATTAAAGGCAACGTGCCCCTCTGAAAAAAAAAAAAATATTGAGAAAACATCCCAGCCCAGTCAAGATCCAATCTATAAAGTCCTCTGAGACCACGAAACAATGACGCTGAATGCAGCAATGGGTGCAAAGTCTTGTGGATCCAGTGGTGATGGAAGCATCCCAATGCTGGCACGGGTCTCCATGAGTCTCTTCCAGCTCTCTGAGTGTCTGTCTCAACAGCAGGAAAGGGTAGGCAGAGAAACTAGGTCTGACCTCCAGTGAGCTATTTCTCTCCTTCATGGCTCCAAATGAGGTCATCAAACAACGCCCTGATTGACAGGCTAGACTCTACTCCTTCACTCAAGTTGACAGTAGATGATGTACCTGCTATACACAGTCCACACCTCTCTTCCCACCAATGATACCACTGGCTCCCGACAGTGAAATGTGATGGAAGTCTCACTCTGTGGGTCTCACAGCTGTGTTCAGGCAAGGCAGCCCTGGGTACTGAGTCCCCCAGAATGACCTACCACTTCCCCACAGGCCAGAAACTCACAGGTGATTTCGATGAAGGGATCTGTGGACGCTAAGGGCAGGACTCAGCAGAGAATAGAGAAATATTGGAGCTACACTTAGACCCCAGGACTTTACCTCTTATGCCTTGACGCCAGGCTGCGACAATGGGCTCAGGCATGGGGACAATGGTGAGGACGGCACAGGACGGGCAGGGTTCCGTTCTGTTTGCACAGGGTCGCGATGGGCCAGAACCAACTCCACGCCGCCTACCATCGACGACATCATCTCGCATCGCTGCAGAGCGTGACATCACAGCCAGGGAAGAAGCACACGGGCAGCCGCTAACTGAGAACGGTGTCGAGTGGAGTGGTATGGAGGTGGCCGGTAGGATTGGCGAGGGTGGAGGCAAGATCCAAGGCTGGTGTCCCTGCCATTGCCATCACCCACCACCCGAGATGCAGGCCAGGGGCAGCTCTAACGAACCAGCCTTCCTTTTGACATCAACTCGAATCAAGTCCTGGGCCATCACAGCCCAGTAGAACAATGGCCACCACAGCAAAAGGTCCAGAGGAATCATTTGACACACGAGGAAACCGAGGCCAGGCCCAGAGAGGCTAAGGAGCAGTGGTTGGGGTGCTTAGCCCTCAGGCCTATCTGTCTCTCAGGCTAGTATTCTTTCCAAATGCACCACCTTTAACCACGGACCAAGCAGACCCCATCAGATGGCAAATTCAGAACTCTTCGAGAGCAGTAGAGCGGTTGGCAAGGTTCTAGTGTGCAAGACCCGGCCCAGTCCTGCACCCTCCCCACCATTGTTCTTATGTTTGAGCCCACTGTTGCAGCCACTGTGTCAATATATATTGTCAAAAGCCTGCTCTTTCGCTGCCCCTTTACTTTATCAAGCATGATGTCCTTCTCCAGGGCTTGGTCCTCCTGGCATGTCTACAGCACATGAGATGAAGTCTCACATTCGAGTCTCTCAGGAGCAATCTGGCTGTCTTTGCTCACATGCTGCCTCCTGAAATGGTACAATATTGACTAGCACTTTTGGGGACAGAACCCTTAATATTTTCCCCATCTCCTCTGGATGCTTCCTGCATCATTCAATATTTTGCCCATAGAATCTTTCAGGATTGCAACTTGAGGCTTGAAAATTGTCTGTAGTTCTTTCAGGCTAAGATGCTGAACATACCCTTTCTTCCTTGTTGCCTTTTTAACTCTAAGTCTTTTCATTATGCTATTTTATTTTGTCTTTTTGAGCAGCCCTTTGGGATTCTCTGCTCAGCTCCTTCACGTCATCATATCCACTTGCTTTAGCTACTCTACAATTAAGAACAAGTTTCAGAGTCTCTTCTGACATCCGCTTTGATCTTTTATTTCCCCCTCTCTTTTTAATGGCCTTTTGCTTTCTTCATGTATGATTTTTTTTTTATATCATCTCACAGCTCATCAGAGCTTCTGTCAGGAGAGTCAATGAGTCAAATCTGTTCTTGAGATGTTCTCGAAATTCAGGTGGGATATACACAAGGTCGAATTTTGGCTCTTGTGGATGTGGGGTTTTTTTTTTTTCAGCTTTATCCTGAACTGACATATGAACAATTGCTGGTCTAGTTCACAGTCAGCCCCTGGCCTGATTTTAGCTGCTGATATTCAGCTTCTCAATTGTCTCTTTTCACAGATGTAGTCAATTTGATTTTTGGGTATTCCATCTGGAGAAGTCCATGTGTATAGTCTTTTGTGTTATTGAGGGGAAAAAAAGAAAGGTATTTGATAGGAAAAGTCATCGGTCTTGAAAAATTCACGTGATCTCCAGCTTCATTTCTATTACCAAGGCCATATTCTCCAACGACTGTTTGTTTGTTTTTGTTTGTTTCCAACTTTTGCATTCAAATTGTCAATAATAATCAAGGCATCTTGATCGCCTGTTGGTCAAATTCAGATAGAAGATGTTAGTAAAAAAGTCTTCAATTTCTTCAATATTAGCTTTAGTGGTTGGTGCCTGAATTTGAATATTAACTATCTGATTACATTTCCTTGAAGGCAGATAGATATAATATTACCACAGACAGCATTGTACTTCCTGGTTGATTTTGACCATGAGTGCCGCATGCCATTCCTCTTGACCGTGTTATTACAGGCATGGCAGATCATATGATTTCCTGATTCAAAATGACTCTTAGCAGTTCAGTTCCGCTCACTAGCCCCTTGAATGTCAATCTTTCTGTGTTCCATTTCATTTTTGATAACTTCCAATTGTCCTAGCGTCTTACTTGGTACGCTCCAAGTTCACGTTACTAAGCTGTTTGCGGCTGGTTTTTCTTCTCATTTTGAGTCATGCCCACGGGCTTTGCTCACCAGGTTTCGCTCCACCTGTCACGAAGGCGGTCTCTACCTTGAGAAAGCTGCTCTTCCTCAGTCACCTTGTGAGTGCCTTCTCACCCGAGGGGCTCAGCTCCTGGCCCTGCCTCGTTCGGACAATGTTCTGCTTCAACGTTCCCTAGGCCTTCGGGATCGGGCCATTTCCCTATGCTCGCCATACGGTTTGAGTTCCTCCGAAGTGGACAGTCCATTCCTTCTTTGTCGTCCTTTCTCAGTCTGGGAGCTCTATACTGAAACCTGTCCACCTTGGGCGGCCCTGCTGGTGTTTGAAACATCAGTGACATACCTTCCAACATCACAGCCACAGTGCGACCCCCCAGACAGGCGTGGAGTCCAGGGTCAAAGGCAGTACTAACAGTGCCCCCCCTGCTGGCAGTGCACATCATTGCACATAGTTCAGAGTGAGCTCGTTTAGCAGCGCCCAGACCACAGTCCTTTCCTCTTCTACCAAACGACGATCTTTGAACGGAACTCGGGGTTTCCTGAGAGGGCAATTATTTCCTCGACTTCAGGGAGTAAATAATTATATCCATTAGGGGCTAAGGAGACGATGAGGGTCTGACGTAACGGAGCACGCCTGTGCACTCAGCCGGACATTAGTTCTTAATTTTATAGTTTTAACTTATTTACCGTCACATGTAAATGCCCGAGTGTTTCTAGTGGCTATCATTTTGGACAATGCCGCCGTTCCTCACAGGACAGACATTTTGCGCCAAAACACGGAAGAGAAGCGGAGCCGGGTGACTGGTTGTATTCCTACATGGGGCCACAAGATGGCACCGTTGCTCAGGATGTTTTCTCTGAAAAGCAAGCAGGTGACTCCTAATAGCGCCCCATCCCTCCTACAGCAAGCAGTGACTCCTAGTAGCATCTCCATCCCTCCTACAGCAAGCAGGTGGCTCCTAGTAGAACCTCCATCCCTCCTACAGTAAGCAGTGACTCCTAGTAGAACCTCCATCCCTCCTACAGCAAGCAGGTGGCTCCTAATAGAACCTCCATCCCTCCTACAGCAAGCAGTGACTCCTAGTAGCACCTCTATCCCTCCTACAGCAAGCAGTGACTCCTAGTAGCACCTCCATCCCTCCTACAGCAAGCAGGTGGCTCCTAGTAGAACCTCCATCCCTCCTACAGCAAGTAGTGACTCCTAGTAGCACCTCCATTCCTCCTACAGCAAGCAGGTGACTCCTACAGAACCTCCATCCCTCCTACAGCAAGCAGGTGGCTCCTAGTAG